AAGGATATTGGTACCCCTCTGGTTCAGGTGTAGACCATCCCGTTTGTAGAGGTCCCACCTACCCCAGAATGAGCCCCAATTATCCAGGTATCTGAATCCCTCCCTCCTGCACCATCCCTGTAGCCACGTGTTCAACTGCTCTCTCTCCCTATTCCTCGCCTCGCTAGCATGTGGCACGGGTAACAAACCAGAGATAACAACTCTGTTTGTTCTAGCTCTAAGCTTCCACCCTAACTCCTTGAATTTCTGCCTTACGTCCCCATCCCTTTTCCTACCTATGTCGTTGGTGCCTAATACTCTATACGTAAACATAAGAAGAAAAGGTTTTGTTACTGTGTTGCAGTCTCACCTAATTGGTTATTGAGAATAAGATGTCAATAAAATATTAAGAGGACCCCTCAAAAAAGAAAAATTATTTTGACCTGTGGAGCCATGTCTCACTGAGTGATTGCATGTTTTGGTTGTATCAGTAATTTGACGTCAAGTTGGTATCGTCAAGTTGTGCCACACTGAAGCATGGATTACACGTGTTGCAATTCTGGAATTTCAAAGTCAGAAAATGTTATAACTTATAACTACTTGAGGGTGATGAGACGGAACAGATGGCCCAGGAGTCAGGTAACACAGAAACTTTTAAAGATACATTGATAGATGTTTGAAACAGTGGACAGTTGAAAGAGGGTGGCTTGTCAAAACTTTCCAGTTTTACACTTTGTTTGTGGTCTTTGCATAAGCTGAAAAGTCATTTTGAGTGTTTGTAAAGGTCCTATCATTTTTTTATCCCCCTCAATGATGACTTCCCTTTAAGTGAATGCATTTATTTAAAGTGGAGTCTCAGACTGTTGAAGCGTATGTGGTCGTTCAATTTCTACACTAATATGTAACAAATATTGCAACAAAGAAAATCTGTGTGTGAATGTGCAAAACTAGGAGAAATTTGGTGACTGGACTAATGTAAACAAAATGTTGATCCAGACTCTAGAAATAAACTTAGGAAAGGAGAACATGCAGAAGTATTCTTGAAAGTTCAGCAAAAACATACAACTGACTAGATGTAGCAACTCTGTAAAGGAAATGCACAGTTTTGAGGGATAGACTGTGGGATTACAAAACACCAAAAGAATTTGCTGTACTTGGAGCTGATCTGACTCACTGGGTTGAAATTTGCATCCTATATTACAAATTAAACTCTTCTCTGCAAAGTAATAGAATAGAAATAAATGGTTATTTATAATGTTCAAATCTAAAACTGTTAATTTTACAGGGGTTATTTATTAAATAACAGACCAGTTGAAAAGTATTATACCATGTCTAATATACTTTTATGCTAACTTTAAGTTGTTAAAACTAACAGCCTCTGTTATGACTGCAATGTGTAATTGCTGTAAATAAGCATAAGCCAGATGGTAATTAGAGTTCAGTTCGTTTTTGCTGAGAGATTTGATGATTGCTTGGTATTTAAAAATTCTTGATGTGACAGTTTATGGCTAGAAACTTGTTTAATATGTATTAAGAATGTTTTAAAGGAGTCTTTAATAATTTGCATCCGTTGTAAAGGGATCAGTTGTAATTTTCTTGGATAACAAGAAATGTTGGTCAATGTGACCTGATCACATTTGACCTAGAAACAGCATCAGTAGTAAAGGTACTGATGCCACATGAACTGACTGGTCAGACACACAGGACAGCTTTGAAAAGGAGAGCTGAAGACTGAAGATGATAGCAAACAAATAACAAAAACAGAAAGGGGGATAGACAGAATTCCTGTGAGGAGGAGGAGTCTTGCTCTTGGAAGAAGTCAGCCTTTCTGTTTGGCAGAAGCTCTTGCAGGCAATGATGACTGTCTGTCTGTGTGAAGTTTGCACATACTCTCCTTGACTGCTTGGGTTTCTGCCCAAGTGCTCCAGTTTCCTCCCACAGCCTAACGCTGTAGTGGTTAGGTGGATTGGCCATGCTAAATTGCCCGTTGTGTCCAGGGATGTGCAGGTTAGGTAGCTTATCCATGATAAATGCAGTGTTATGTGTAGGGGGTTGCTGGGTCAATGGCAGAACCATGACTGGGACAATCAATTGGGAATAAGTCAATCTGAGCAAATCTGAGGAACTTGTTGCTGTAGACAACAGTGTAATTTGTCTTAGAAATGGGGGTAAATGAACTTACTAGGACATGGCTTTTTTTTAAATTGTACAAATAACTTGAAGTAAATATGACAATGAAAATTACAGAAAGGATGAACCAAAGAAAGTACATGAACAAAAACAGCAGGACAAATCCAACGCAGCCATTTATTGTCCTACCAATCTAATCTATCTTGAGGATAGTGGTAGAGGGGGTCATCAACAGTGCTATCAAGTGGCACTTGAAAACGAATAACCTGCTTACTGATGAACAGTTTGGATTCTCCCAGAGATACTCAACAAGAAGCACTGCAGCAGCTTACCAAGGCTCCCTCAACAGGACCTTCCAAACCAGTCAGCTAGAAGGACAGGGGTGGTAGATGCATGGGAAGACCACCACCTGCCAGTTCCACTCTAACTCTCACATTCAAACAACCAGAAGTGGAACTACATCAATCTTCCTTTCACTGTTGTTGGCTCAATATCCCAGAACTACCTTCCTAAAAGCAGTTTCAATGCCCTTACGCCCCATTATCTGCAGCAGCTCATGAAGTCGGGTCATCACCACATTCTCCAGGGCAGTTAATGATGGGCAATAATTGCTGAACTAGCTAGAGCCACCCACATTTCATGAATGAATTAAAAAAAACCTAAAATATTGTGTGCATCTCAATCTGACCTGCCACTTTTAATGAGTTACACACATGTATACCCTTTGTTTTAAACAGTGTTGTGTCTTTTTTTTTTCTATTAAAATAAATCATTTAGCTCTTCTCTGCATTAAATTTCATTTGCCATTTATTGACCTATTCCACCAACTGTCTATGCCCATTTGAAGTTTTACACAATCCTCCTCGGGGTTTGTAATCCTTTCAAGTTTAGTATCTTCCACACATTTGGAATTTATGTTGAAACCAACTGTGTTGAACAATAACTTGAACACATCACCTTAAAAGTTTTTAACATAATTTAGTGGGTAGTGATGACTTTCTGATGAAATTACAGCAGCTGAACATGGTCCAATTCAACAGAGTCAACTTGATGTACGAAGAGGAAATCATGTTTGAGAAACCTAATTGAGCTTTTGCAGGTATTACTGGCAGAGTGAATAAGGAAAAACTCATTCATGTGGTGTATTCAGATTATCAGAAATTTTTTGATAAAGTTCCATACAGGAGGTTAATAAACAAAATTAAAGCACATGGCATCATGGTGATGTACAAAGCACTAATTAGATTGATTAGCAGATAGAAAGCGGGGAGTAGTAATCTCAGATTGATAGGCTGTAACCAATGAAATAACACAAGGATCATTACTGATCAGTATTGGGCCCTGCCTGTTCACAATCTATGTCAATGATAAGGATGTCAGGCCTATTGTAATATTTCCAAGTTTGCGGTTAATACAAGACTTGGTGAGAATGTAAGTTGTAAAGAGACTTCAAAATAATTTAGGCTGAGTGAGTGGGAAGAGCAAGACAGATGCAATATAATTTGGGTATATGAGGTTATCAAATTTGATAAGAGGAACAAAAGTGCAGAGTATTTCTTTAAATGCCTGTATTCACCAAATTTAGAAAGAATGAAATCCAATCTCATAGAACATTAGTGAATTCTTAAAGGAATAGACAAAGTAGGTGCAGAAAGGATGTTACCCTGGCAGTGGGGTCTAGAGCCGAGGACGCAATCTCAGAATAAAAGTCAAACCATTTAGGCCTGAGATGAGGAGGGATTTCTTCACTCAGAGGGTGGAAAATCTTTAGAATTCTTTACTCTAGAGTGATGTGGAAGTTCAAGCATTAAGTTCAAGACCGAGATTGATAGATTTCCAGTTAATAATGATAACAAGGGATATGGAGATACTGCAGAAATATGGGTCGAGGTAGATGATCAGCCATGACTTAGAATACCAAGGTAGGCTCGAGAGGCTGAATGGACTACCCATGCTCTTATGTTCCATTTCTGTAGAAATTATAATGAACAGTATTTTCATCTTTGAGGTGGGCAGACAGAGTCAGGAAATTTCAGGAGAGTGCCCGCAAGGATAGGATTTTGGAGGGGAATGTAAGTAGGAATTGGTCCCAGTGCTTCCAGAAAGATTTGGAGGCTGCCACAGAGCTGCTGGGTACCAAAATTAACTGTTTAAAAGGCCAACCTTAGGCCTTTGGATTTTGATCTTAGTTTTTAATAAAACAGTAATGTCCTCTAACCCTCAGTGCTCCTAACATCCCTCAGCCTTCTTTGAATCCTCATGTCCCATCTATGCCACTTTGTGCACACTATCCACCCCTCTTGGCCCTTCATAGTTTTCATGCCAAGCTATGGCAGTTCCATTCCATTCAGCCAGTATACACATTATAGAACCAATAATCCCGATGGTGACTGTAGGATGTATTGAAAAGGTAATTTTTTTAAATTCATTAATCCACAAAAATTATTTTTACAATAGTTAATAAAATATCAATCATCCAGACCAGTTCATTTATCAATAACAGAAACTATAAGCACCTAAAACCTCTTTATCTTGTATGAATAAACATTGCACTAATGACAGAACATGTCAGAGAGCTAGCCAGGAATTTTCCCCTGTGGCCCAACTGTTTCAACACTCTAGTGGATGAGTCACTCTCAGCCAAACTCATTATGCAAAGACTTCTAATTCATATTATTAAAATGCAGAGACACCAGTTTATATGTAAATATTATCCTGTTTAATAACCCATTATTTGAGTACAAGACCGTAGGGAGATGTGTTTTCAAAAATCCTACTAATTCAATTATTTGACATTGTAATCAAATGTCACATTGTTGAACAGCTTGAACTATTGAATATCTTTAGCGTTATTCTTTCATAGTACTCATTTCCTGTCATTTATCTTTCAGGGCAGAAAAGCTTCAGCTGCTGAATCACAGACCATTAACTGCAGTGGAGATACAGTTGGTAAATTAAATTTATTTAATTTCATCAAAAGATAGAAAAAATGCAAAATCATTCACAATTTCAGAAAAAATACTTCTTTGACTATGAGAAAAGAAAGTGAAATTCACACAGTGGATCGGTATATACATGTGTCACTCAGTGTCATATTGAGTCATAAGACAGGATGGCCCCCAGAAGTCCATAATGAAAACAGATCACTGAGGATGATAATGGTATTCATCTAAGTCATGTTCCTGCTCCAAAACAAAGCCATAAACAGCTTCTGGATGGATTTTTTTTAGAAAAAGAATGTCAAGGTTTGGTTGCATCAGAGAATAAAGAGTACATGTGAGACATTCCTCCAGAATAAGACACTGCTTTAAGGAAAGAGGGTGTGATAAATCTACAGTCAAATTAATTGCTATGTGTATCAGTTCCTTTACATTTCCGAAAAGGAAGCACAACTTTGAGCTATTATTACTGATTTCTGCAATAGGGGTTCAAGCCACTTCTAGAATCCTGTGTCACTGTTTTCAGAAAATTAAATTGGAAGCTTTCCTACAATTTTATGACAGATACATCTGTTTTTCGAAAGCAAAGTCAGTGAGCATTGAGCCAGTTCAATGACCTCTCGGGCCTGTTTTCCAATTCGAAACTTTAGAAAGCGTATAGATTCAAAGGATGTGTTTTTCAGTTCAGTATATTGAAAATGATAACAAATAGAGTACCTGACTATTGATGGAAAGTTTTGAAATTGTCAGCTAAATGACCCACTTTAATCAGTAGCTTCTGTATGTTCTATATTAAAATAATATAAACTGTAAATGCGGACTGGTCAGTCTGAGTTTTATAAAGATGATGCAGTTGCTTAATCCTCTGAGGAGGTGAGTCTTTTAATTCCTTCACTCATTTGTGAAATCAGGACTTTTAGTTTTGAACTCAATTTGGTAAGAATTCAACAGGACTGGACAAGAAATCAAAGGTATGCAAAAATAATGACAATGATCAACTTTTCTCTTAGTCAGAGAATAAACATTCTTAAAGCTAAAGCAAGAGTGTTTTCTTGACTTTTGTCTGGTTCATTGAATTGAAGACAGCTTAGATTGCATTGCCTGCACTTTCATTTACTTTCTCACAGAGTGCAGTGTTTTGTGTTTCTTCTGTTCACCCTACATTTATTCAACCTTTCTGAGAGCCGTGCATGTTTTCAGTTTTCACTCCAGTGAGAATTTATATCTAAAACTTTACCTCATCTTTACTTTTTATAGAAACTGGATTTATACTGTCTAGTATTTTCAGAATTTGCTGTTTTTTCTTTCATTTTGTCATTTTTAGCATAACATTTGCCTTCCAGGAGCTTTAGTCCTCAAGTGCTAGCTTTTCATGCTTTATATTTTGACATCACATCTATTTTATTCTATTCATCATCAGTGTTATTCCGTTCTCTTGCTTGTGTCTACTTGCCAAGATCTACTTTTACAGCCATATCTCCATTCTCAGCACCTGCTTTGACTTCAAATACATTCCACTTTGATCTCAGCTTTTTCTTTCAGATCTACTCGTTCATTTTGTGATAGTCAATCCTCTCAGCTTTTTGTGCAATCATTTGTACTCAGCATGTGCTCTTAACTTCTTGTTTTGTAACATCAATTTAATTTGACCCATGGCAGTCTTGGTTCTTCATCCTGAATCATTCCCCAGTCCATCCAAAGAGACTGATAACTTCTAAAAAAAAAAAATTCAAACGTCCAGGGAATGGCTAAAGATCATATGATAACATTTCAAGTTTTAAGACTTTCTTGTTGCATTTCATTTGTGTGTTACATAAGTTGTCTACTGTATTAATGCTTAGTTAATTTCAATAGGTAACTACAGAAAAGATTTCCCATTTAATGTTTTAGATCAGAAATCTCCCCCTGCAGTTATGCTTTACTCTGTTATTTGAGTGGGCATTTTGTTGTGCAGGAGCCAGTCTGAAGTAATTCTTAACTCCGTATCCTTTTTCCAGCTAGCTAACTTCATTACTTGAACTGACTTGCATAGCGTGTGCTACGCTGAAGATCCCTCCCTCTAGACATAGTTAGATAGATCTTCCGGATGTATTTAAGACCCTCACAATTACGGTCTCTTCAATCCAAGCATGAACTCCAGCCCACATTTGGTGTGGTGAAAAATAGCGACTGGCTGCATTAATCTCTGTCTTTGATTTAAGCCCTTCAGACATACCCTGTCATGACAATTTTGGCTGAGTAAAACAGCATTAAATCAGATTGTAAAGGAAGGATATGTATAAATTCAGTTAAGAAGATGGTTAGCAATTAGGTTTTATGAAACAGTAATTCTTGAACAACCAGTCTGAAGAAGTCATAAACATAACAATATTAATAAAGAAAAAATTTGTGTGCCAATCAAATCATTCAATAGTTTTTTTTTTGGAAGATAATTTATCAGTCATTTCTTGGAGCTTGTTTTGCGAAGTTTTAAACCAAATAAATGTTAAAAGAAATAGCTTCGTCATAACACATCATAAATTGTCTAAGTGCTTCTTAATAATCTCATTGATATTTGTACTTGAAGATCTGACATTCTCACAAACATCTGGGCTTCAATGTGATACTTTTGCATTTCTTATGATTCAGCTCTAGTGCCAAAGCTGAGCATGTACAATGTGCAGTTTCCACGGATCATTAGCAGCATTTAGTTGCCTTTAGTGTTCCTCATAAGCTTCCAGCTATATTAATTATGTTATTTTTTAAACTAATTTTGAAGAAAACTTGAGGATAAATTTTATTATTCTGGTTTAGGTATAAAGCTTGTCTATATTTGTGTGCATGTGTGTCTGATATGGGTAGATTAAAAAATGTGGTACAATGTACACTGCTGCTGTAGCTTATGTTTATCTTCGTATTATAAAAATTCTATCTCTTTCTACATTTCTTGTGAATAGTATCTCTGTGGAAAATAATTTCATTTTGACTTTTTTTTAAAGTGCTGTCAATGCCGTTAACATCAAATCATTTGTTGGTTTTTGATTAAAATCATAGATATCTACAGTACAGAAAAAGTCCCATCAGCTATCGCATCAACTCAGGTCAAAAATAATTACCTAACTATTCTAATCCCATTTTTAAGCACTTGGCCCAAAGCCTTGGATGTCTTGGCATCGCAAGTGCACATACTTGGTAAATGTTATGAGGGTTTCTGCCTCTACCCTTACAGGCAGTGAGCTCCAGATTCCCACCACCTTCCAGGTGAAATCAATTTTCTTCTCATCCCCTCTGAACCTCCAGGCTCTTACCTTGAATCTGTGTCCCCTGATCATGCCCCCTCCACCAAGTGGAAAGGTTTCTTGCTGTCTATAACCCTCATAATTTTTACATATCTCAATCATGTAGCCTCTCAGTCACCTCTGCTACAGGGAAAACAACCCCAGTATGTCCAAGATAGTAGGAACTGCCGATGCTGGAGAATCTGAGGTAACAAGGTGTAGAGCTGGATGAACACAGCAGGCCGAGGAGCATCAGAGGAGCAGGAAAGCTGACGTTTTGGGTCTGGACCCTTCTTCAGAAATGATTTCTTGTTATCCTTGTTATCCTTGTTATCCCGGTATGTCCAATCTCTCTTCATAAATAAAAATTTTCCAGCTTCCTGGTAAATCTCCTCTGCACCCTCTCCAGTGCAATCACATCCCTCCTATAATGTGATTCCAGAACTGCACACAGTACTCCAGTTGTGGCCTAACCAATTTTGTATTCAATTCCAGCATAACATCCTAACTCTTAAAATCTCTGCCTTGGCTAATGAAGGCAAGTATCTATATGCCTTCTTAACCACTTTTTCCACCTTTTTTGCTACCTTAAGTAACCGTATAACATGCATGCCAAGATCCCGCTGATTCTCGGTGCACCCCACATTCCCTTGCCTTGTTTGTCCTGCCCAATTGCATCACCACACTTACCTGGATAGAATTCTGTTTGTCACTGATCAGCCCATCCACATCCTTGGTAACCTAAAGCTATCCTTCTCACCATTTACCACTCCACCAAGTTTTGTCTCATCCTGAAAATTGATGATCAACCCTCCAACATTCAAGTCTATATCATTTATATATACCACAAGCAACAAAGGCCCCAGCACTAATCCCTAAGGAGCCCTACTGGACACAATTTCCAGTCACACAAACAGCCCTCAATCATCACCCTCTGATTCCTGCTACTTGGTCAATTCTGGATCCAGTTAGCCAAATTTCCTTGGATCTCATGGGCTATCGGTCTCCCATGCAGGACCTTATCAAAGCCTTGCTGAAACCCAAGTAGGTTACATTGAATTCATTGCCCTCATCTGTGTTCTTGGTTACCAGTTCACAGAATTCAATCAAGTTGGACAGAATTGACATCTCTTAACAAAACCATGCTGACTGTTCTTAATTAATCCTTCCGTCTCCAAATGCAGACTAATTCTGACCCTCAGAATTGCTTCCAGTAATTTCCCCACCACTGAAGTTAGTCTGACTGACCTGTAGTTTTTATCTCTTGAATACTGGTACCACATTGGTTGCCCGCCAGTTCTCTGGCACCTCTCCCGTGACCGGGGAGGAATTGAAAATTATTCCCAATGCCCCTGCTATTTCCTCCCTTGCCTCAACAGCCTGGGATATGCATCATCTGACTCTGGAGATTTTTGAGTGTTTGCAGACCACTCAGAACCTCTTCTCTGTCTATACTAATTTCTTTAAGCATATCAAAGTCCGTTTGCCAGATTTCTATAATCACACTGCCCTTCTCTCTGTGAACACCGACACCAAGTCTTCATTTAGAACCCTACCTACATCCTGTGGCTCCATCCACAAATTACCACTGTGGTCCTTAATGGGCCCTACTCTTTCCTTAGTTGTCCTTTTATCCTTGAAGTACTTGTAAAATAACTTAGGATTTTCCTTTATTTTACCTACAATCATTCTTTCATGCCCCTTTTTACTCACCACATTTTTTTTTTTACCTTTTCCATCGCACATCAGTCTGCTGATTTGAGCCCTCAGAATCTTTAAACAAAACTTTAATTTTAAAGAAAAGCTGGATTTTCCTGGCAACTGATGTCGGGATATTTTACTGCTGCTCTTTAAATGTGGAAATACTGTACAAAGACTGAGTGTGTTTTTCTTATTTGAGTCTTAGACTCTCCTTCTGCCCCAAACCCCAACAGACTGTCTGGTCTATAGAAGGTCCTAGCACAAATCCTACTGCTCTTCTGCTTGGCTGCCAAATAGTCAAGTAAAAGGAAAAGTGAGCAAATGTTTATCCTGTTTCCACCTCCATTATATTCTTACACTAGGTCTGCACTTATTCCATAAACAAATTCAGTGACAGGGAAGTCACAGAAATTTATCACATATGTCTGATGTTCCCTTTCTACTGTTTTAATGATTGCATTACCTTATACTTTCCTGAATGAGTCAATGTTTTAATGAAAATTGTTGCAAGAGGAATTTCAGAAAATCACATTAATCCTTACGACTCCTTTATTGTACAAATGGATCTTGGAATCAAGCACTTTTTTTTTCTACTTGACCATATCTAGGAGTCTGTGATAGCTCAAAATAATTATGAAATATTATAATTGGTTTTGCTAACATTTCAGAAATACTTTAGTTACTGAAAATAAACTGTTTCAACATAGTTTAAATTTTTTAGATATTGAACTTTTAAATTAATGTATTTTGGGACTTCCTGTTGCCAGATAGTGCTTGTAGAAATTCTTGACAATAAATTAAAATTTAATTTAATAAAATTTAATAATTTTCATAAGCAAATGTCAGATTATCTGTTCTAATATTCCAGATGGTAGAAGAGAGTGAAGAAAGATTAACGGAAGAACAGATAGAGGAGCTTCTACAGACAATCAATAGCATTCTGCCAGGGGACCCTGATGAGCAAGCTGCAACTCGGCAGCAGGAAGATGTGGATATGGTCACTGAAGAGAAAGGAAACCAATAGACAGAAACTTAACAGAACCCAGTCAATACACACTATTCCTATTCAGGAAATGTTTTGATGATTGATCTACCTTGGCTTTGGTATTTAAACCCCATTGACTGTACTTGGATTCAAGCATACCGTAATAGTAATTTCAGATACTGTACAGATGTTTTCAGTTATGTTCATACTATCCAGTATGAGACATAAGCTATGACTGATGAGTGTTTATCTTAACCCAGAACTAATGTTTTTACTTTACAAATAGTGCAAAAACCACAATACTTAAACCTGCATAGCTATAAATTTGGTTAAAACTGACTAAATGTGTACCTTACACACTTATAGTTAGTCTATGAAAGAAATTTTTCTAAACTAGCTTACAAAGGGACATATGTGCAGAATTGAGAAAGAAATGCTTAATTGTGCATTTTATAAACATATTAAAGATTCTATATTGGAAACTGTATCGTTAAATAAACTGAAACAACACATCTGGTATAAGTCCCTAAAAATATTCTGCCAAAAAGTGAAGTTTGAAAGCATTTTGTAAAGCTGCTAAAATAAATGTGCATTGTTATATCAATTTTTTTTTAAAGATCAAGGAGGAATTAGTTCAAAGTACCTATTCACAACATATATGAATGATTTAGAAGAGTGAACTAAACGTAATATCGCCAAGTTTGCAACACAACTCAAAGCTGGGTGCGAGCGTGATCTGTGAGGAGGATGCTGAGGTGTGATATGGACAAGTTGAATGAGTGGGCAAGTGCATGGCAGATGAAGTATAATGTGCATAAATGTGAGGTTATCGACTTAGGTAGCAAAAACAGGAGGTCAGATTATTATCTGAATTTATTACTGTGGTGATAGATTGGGAAAGGGGGGTGGGGGGATACAACAAAACCTGGATGTCCTTGTATGCCAGATACTGAAAGTAAGCATGTAGATGAAGCAGGCAGTGAAGAAGGTAAATGGTATGTTGGCCTTCATAGCAAGTGGATTTGAGTTCAGGAGTAGGGATGACTTGCTCCACTTGTTCAGGGCCTTGGTGAGACCACATCTGGAGTATTGAGTGCAGTTTTGATCTCTTTATTTGAGGAAGGATTCTCTGGCTACAGAGGAAAAGCAAAGGTTTACCAGACTCATTCCTTGGATGACTGGACTGATGAATGAAGAGTGATAGGGATTGGTCAGGACTATTCTCTTGAGTTTAAAAGAATGTGGGGGGAAATCTCATTGAAACCTATAGAAATCTAACAGGATTAGGCAGCATAAATGTAAGAAGGATAGTCCTGATGACCAGGAGTCCAGAACCAGTGGTCACAATTTAATGGTACAGTGTAGAGCATTTAGGACAGAGCTGAGACTTTTCTTCCCCAGAGAGTGGTGAGCCTATGGAATTCTCTGCCACAGAAATCTGTTGAGGCCAAACCATAGAATGCTTTCAAGAAAAAGTTAGATATTGTTCTTCGGATAAAGGGATCGAAGGGTATGAGGAGAAAGCAGGAACCGGGTCGAAAGACTGAATGGTCTACTCCTGCTCCTATTTTCTGAGTAACAGCAACCTTGGAATATAAATTCTCTATAAATTATGAAACAAATTTTCATTCTTGGGTGAACAACTTCAGCAAATAAATAATGATGACATTTATTTATATTCTATCAAAATCCGTGATCCTTAAGGAAGATAAGCGTTCAATAGCATCTGGTGCTTATTGCACAAAATCACTTGAAAATGTAATTATATGATTATCGCTGTTTACAACATTCATCCATGTTGAGTGGAAGAAACAGCTGCAAATTTTGTGCAGGGCCAGATGGGAGGTAAAGAATCCCCTGCATGTCTCCAATTTTGCTTTATGTGAAAGGAGTAGAGAAGTTACCTGAACTAACCATTCACATTTGCATTAAGCTCCATTCATGGAAAGGCAATCATTCAACATCTGTTCATGGTGGAGAGAGAGAAACAGAAGACTGGCCTCTACACTGTTCTTGTTTTTAATGTCTGCAGAACATTGTTGATGTATAGTAGTCTGCAAAATAAACCGGAGCAAATTAGAAATAATTATAGAAGCAAAACTAATCGGAATTCTGCTTTTTTTGATTCTGCATTAATCTGGATGGCAGATGCATCAGTCTACCATGTAATCAAGATTGTTCACACTATGTCATTCCATCAGCGGTATCATACTTATGTATCAGTAGAATTAAGAGGCTAATCTGGAATTATGATAGTAACTTTCACTCTCTCTTTGTGGCAAAATAATGTGAAAATTAAGATTACACTGTGCTTAACTATACTTGGAATACTTCCATTAGGAATATTGTATAGAATATTTAGCTATTCAAGTAAGTTCCTCATTGAGAATACAGAAAGAAAGTTTATGTGAAAGGATCATGCAGTCAAAGGTAACCAAGTATCATAGATTCTCAATATAATCTGCTTTTGAATATTTATTTTCTTATCAATAGAACTTTGAAAATATATTAACCCAGACTTTACTGCGCTCATGATGGACTGTTAATATGTGCTGTTATGACACTTTATAACCCACAATTTCGGAGTGCATATATGTGCACAGTAGAGTTCAGAAATCCTGATGTAGCATGAATTGTAGGCAAATTCACCACTAATGAAGATTTTTTGGTCAATGTTATAGGTTGGTGTTTTCCAATGGAAAATGTCTGGAGTCAGCTTACAATTTTTTTTTAAAATTTAGCCCAATGAGGAAATTAGTACTTGGTGACATTTCAACTTTCAAAATGGCTGAGGCAGGGATTTTGAATATTGATTTGATCTTTTCACTGATTTACTTCATATGTCTTTCTTTAAAATAATTGTGCTCGTCTATCTCAATTTAAAATCCTGTTACAATATACCTTAATACTTTTTCATTCAAATTTATGTAAAACCGTATTTACTTACATGTGCCAAGTATCGCAGTTGATTAAATTCTCTAAAATTGCTTCAAATTATTATAGAGTGATCTGTACATGTTAGAGAACATTGCAGAGCCAAGTTAAGGACTATGCCATGAGGAAATCTTCTTGGCTTCAAAAGGAGATTCCTGCCCCCACCATTGGATAACATAAGTGGACACTTTAGGTTATGTACAGTAATGAGGGTCATCTGCTGACCTCAATTTCTGAGCCATGGCCTGGATTTTGGAGGGACAATGTAAGCCAAGCTCTTTGATGGTCATCGTTACTCAACAGAAGTAGCAACTTAAGACATTCATAATGCATAGAAAAATGTGGAAATCCAGAAGTTGCTTTCAGTGATACTGTGCTTCTCCCGAAGATGCATTGTTGAGGTCCCTCTAGACTGCAATCTCTAAGTAATCAATTCATCCACAGAAATTTCCACTTGTACACTGAATCTTGCTATAAAGTGGTCCAATAAGGTTGCACCTTAATAAGTAGTTATAACTAGGTGTAATAGAGTACTAAATTCATAATTACTACAAAACACCCTCATTGATTCTAGAAAGCTAATTGTATATTTGTGAAAAATCAAACTTCTCAATTATAAAATTCCACATTTTTAACTTAACTTTAATTTAGATCTTTCATTATTTAGTTCACTGCCTGAACATATAAATAAAAAGAGAATCAGTGTTACTAATTTCCAGGCTTGCTATCTTTGAGAATGTTTGACTATGATGACTGATTGCTAAAATCACTGCTGCTGGACACATGGAGATTTCCTTGATTTGGTGCCAGATTTAAACTGTCATTGGGAAAGAGGAAGTCCATATGCTTGAAATCACTAAATCTTTGTAAGAAGCTTCTTTGCGGCCAACATCAAATTGTGTTGTTTCTACACTGATGGGGAAATCTAACACAAGGTATTGGTACCTTTTTTCAAACACAAATTAAGAAATTCTTATTTATATTTATAATTGTGTCATGTGGCATAGAAATGCTTTCATTATTGCTGTGGGGACTACAGCAGAGTATTCCCTCCTCCAGAGTAGTTGGACTTTAAACAAGAAATGGAGAATGATGGAACTGTCGTGATGTATAGCTGGAGGAGGCTGCGTGCCTCCAATTCTTCAAAACAGTCTAGATATTTCTAGCTAGCTCTGTGGACATGATTAAGCTACAGGAAATTCATTGTTTTTGTTTATCTGGCAAATAAACAGTGACTGTCAGGATATATTCTTTCCAAGTCAAAAGACTCCTTGATTAAAAACTGTCAGAACCAAGGACACTAAGAACAGATTGATCATCATAACCACAGAACATATGGGGTGCATATGGCAACACCATGCTGTAACACATCGCTCACCTTGCAGCAGAACCTAGTTGTTGTGACACAGAGACAGACAGCCAAATCAAATCAGCCTTCCTATCCCTGAATTCACAACACAGTAAAATTAAAGCATTTAATAACTCTCAAACTGCCCCAATGGTTCCTAATCAGACTTTCTGAATAACAGATATCAAATACCAAGTTTATAGTTTAAACAAAAATTAACTATGTTATTAATACAGTAGCCTTACAGAGCAAAGTTAAACAACAAGGTAATCTAATAATGTCTATGGTTTAAATACAATCTTTTTGATTCTAGCCCCCATTCTGACATAGTTAAGGGATAAAGTAATAGAAAAATAGAAGAGTTGTAACTTCACTTAAGCAGTTTCCGTGATGCAAATTATCACAGACACCTGGGATTACATCTTGTTTTATTTCTGACAATCCAAATAGCTTCCAGTAGGCCCCAAGGAATATTCATTTAATTCTTATGACTGAGATTCTATTCTCTGCATTTTAATAAGTTGATATTGGGAGGATAACCAGGGAGCAAACCTTTGTACCGCAGCTTTCATAGCCACACCTTTCTAACCAATAAAAAACACAGCTAAAAGCCAATTCAACATTTGATTTCTCTTTGGTTTTTGTTTTTCAACATGCTTTTTGTTAGACTAATTGGCACTGGCATCCCTGTGATGGCCCCTTGTTAACATCTAAGCATCTGTCAACACTTGCGCTTGAGACTGAAATGTCTACAGTGTTCTTTGAATAATGAGTATAACAGGTCATGGTTTCAGGATAAGGGATAGCAGTTTTAAAACAAAGATGAGGAGGAATTATTTCTCTCAAAGAATCACAAATCTATGAAATTCACTACCCTAAAAGTGCAGCGGACATGAGGAGTCAATTTAAGGCGATAGACAGGTTTTTATTTAGTAATGGGTTGAATGGCTGTGGAGAGTGGGTAGGAAAATGGACTTGAGGCTGAGATGAGATCAGCTGTGATCGTATCAAATAATGGAGCAGGGTTGAGGGGCTAAATTACCTACTCCTCTCAGTTTTTATGCTTTAACAACAATAAGCCTCCTAAGCCAGACCTCATAAACAAATATAAGTTTGTTTGTTCTTCCCCTTTTCAAACAACTGCTGATCACAGGCTGAAGGTCAACGTACAGCTTTAAATCAAAAATGATTTAAATAAAGAATGTAGCGAGCATTCTAACAGTGATCATGAAATTCCCACAGTACATGAACCAAGATTTGGTTACCAGTACTATCGTAGTACAAATACTTCTGGAGGAATAATATTCCATGTAAATACATGA